GAAACATAAAGCCACGACCTGTCGTTCTTGCAGGTGGAGGGCGTTGACTCGATCGGTCCGCGAGGCTTCCATGGCACTGCGGTAATAGGTTTCGACATTTACGTCATCGGTGGTTTCGACGGCGAGGAAGTCTTAAGCTCATGTCGCTGCTTCAACGCTGTTACGAAGACGTGGCGCGAGGTGGCGCCTATGCATAAACAAAGGTAAGATGCAGTTCGCTAACTAACGAATTCCTTCGAGCAGAGTATTTCTACAAAAGCTGATAGTCGCTCTGTTAGTCAAGATATAAATGTGGGCAGTGGATTTAAAATTGTACCACTCACATATAGGAGCATCGTACAATGTGTGAATAGGTTTTAGGACTTTTGTGACAATGTTGGTCTAAAGAATACGATTTGCTTGTTAATTTATTTGAATTATGATTTAACAATGACGAGAGAACAATTGCGTTCTGCGAGAGGAATTGCATCTGAATCAGCAATAAATGAGCATAGCAAAGCGTGTATTTTTATCGTTTCAGACGCAATTTAAGTTTGGCTGTTCTGCGAGGAGAAGTGTACGCCATTGGCGGTTGCGATGGTCGTCTAGATCACAAAACGGCGGAACGATACGAATGCAAGACAAACCAGTGGTCGTGGATCGCTCCTATGAACTCGCAGCGATGCAATGCAAGTGCGGCTGTACTGAATGGTACATAAATGCTGTGAAACACTAATGTGTGAATTAGTGCAAAAGGCGAGGCGTCTGTCTGTCTGTCTGCGTGTAACAACGCAAGAAAGTTTGAAGGAATCGTAGAATTTGAGGTTCTCACGATGGCAAGTAAGAAGATGACCGTCGTTTGGCTTCTACCGACGTTTCAGAGGAACGTTTTGCTGTCAACATAAAGACATCCCTCGTCGCTCTTGAACTTAGTTTCCCATTGTCCCATTTTCTTTTAAATCCATTTCTTTTATCCGTGCTACGTACTACGTTATTTCACAGACTCCAACGACTTGACGTTCTGAGTGCGTGATTTTATCCTGATCTTGTAAGCTGTCCCTTTGCATCGTCTTCTGTCTTTTTATTGTACACTAGGAGTGAATGCAAACAACTACCAAACTATCAAAGTGACTCTTATGTAATACAGATTTAATATATTTTTGAGACAGTTTATAATCTCATGTAAATAGCACATTATATTATAAATGTAGAGCACCGCTTGGCAGCTTCTACCGTACATCTCTTGTACCAAATTTAATAAAATTCGTTTCACAGAAGATTTAACTTACCATCATTTACATTATGCATTAATTTAGGCACTTTATGCTGTTTGTATTAAATATTTATCAGTTAAACTCGTTTTCTTTGACACGCTGACTGTCTGCATTCGAAACAAAGAAACAGATGAACAGAAACAGCCGTGTTCATTCAGTTTCTGTGATACGAAGGGGGTACATTAATAGATTTACAAATTTAAGTATGGATTGTCTCGGTGTAATGCCACTGCCTACATCAAATATATGTACATTTTATGTCATATAGCTTATTTGTTTCTACAGACAAAATATACATCGCTGGTGCAAGTAATGGTTACGATTCATTTAACTCGGTGGAAGTTTATGACCCGGACACCAACCGATGGACGTACGTCGCGCCAATGCATTCTGAACGTGCCGGCCATTCTTGTATCGTCTTCCGCGGCAGTTTGTACGTCCTAGGTGAGAACTCTCGACATTCTGTGATGCTCCTCTATCCTTATTACAGAACGTATCTATTGTGAAATGTTTTCCTACTTTTCTTAGAGTGAATGAGATTTTATGAACAGCATTTTTCTCCGGTCATTACAGAGTTAGTTTGTCGGTATTTTTAACCCTGATTCGTGGTTTCGGATACATTCTCCCGAAATACCACTAACTAACTAGTAACAGATAATCTCTCGTGGTATCTCAACTAACGCATGCCCCATTTGTCACACAGTCCCAGTTTTAAAGGTAAATATTTTGTTCTCGTAGCAAGGATATTTCAGTTTGCCATGGTGTTATCCACAGCAAGCCGGTGGTTTAAAGCAGTTTCTTTATACTCTTTGCTTTTCGTCAATTGCTTGTGTAATGCCGTTCTAAACAGTGCAGCTTGTGTTTGTTGTTGAACTCCATTTTCGTACGCAATTTCATGAAGCTGTAAACAGATGTCAGGTGCAATTTCCTGTTCCTACTGGGAAAATTAATGGCGTTACTCTGCACAGAGTGCCTACGAATGTAGTGAGACTGGTTACTTTGTGTTTACATCAGGGTTCAGGGCGCTTTAATCATAAGTTTCAGCTGCGTAATTATAACCTTAATATGTATTATGATCTAATATGTAAATTAGACGTGACATTAAGCTTTTGTTTGTGCGAATTTTGGGACGCTGTAGTTTATAACAATTCTGTTTCTACTGTACCGTAAATAAACTCCAGAAGACATGTGAAGTAAATGCTTCATAAACTCCCTTGTTCACAAGTACAAAAATAATATTGTAGATATTTGATCCTTAACTTCGTTCCTGGTACTAATACAAACACTGCAAAAGGGAATGAATTTACTTTTCTGTATTTCATCCATTCCTTACGTTTATTAAATTACAAATTTTAAGAGCATAAATTCCGTTGGGTAAGACGGACGGAGTGTGAAGCATTGAAGTTAGTACCGACTTTTGTGAATAAGGTAATGAATATTAAGACACCATAAAGGCCAAATACTTAGTGGTCAGGTGACAGAGTAATAAATATCAAGAAGGGCCTGCTGAATGGGGTTAGAGTAAGTTTCGTTTGGCAGATTTGTTTGTATATAATGTGACATATTACGGAATATGTGTGCAGGAGGACACAACAGAACATCATGCCAGCTCAGTACCGAAAAGTATGACCCTGCAGAAGACACGTGGACCGAGATCCGTGACATGAACGTCCCAGGCACAAACTTCAACGCAGAAGTGATCGACGACACGCTATTTTTCATTGGTGGTTGTTATGACGGTGTCGAAATTTACAATGACGAAAAAAAGAAATGGTTTGTTTCTTGGTTTGTTTCTTCAGGACTATATAATCACAAACTCTTACTTTCTAAAAGCACTAGGATGTGAATCATTTTCGGTCAACATGACCGCGATCTTGCGGGTGCTGCACCGTGTAGTGTCGTGGAAACTGACCGACGTTTCAGAGGTTCTAACTGCTTATTCAGGGCATTGAATGCAGCACGCGGAAAAAGGTGTGAGAGAAGGGGGGTTGAATGAAAACAGGTATATATATTTTTAAGAAAATGGTTA